CATTCCATCCACAAATCATCACAAACCATCCATAAAACAAAAGAAAGTGTAGATAGGCAATACAGTAGAAGATGCAAGGTTGGCCACATTTGTGCGGTTAAGCGCCAAGCTCCCACACACCTGTCTGCGGCCGAAGTGGCACACTTGTGTGTGTGTGTGTGTGTGTATGTGGGGTAGATTCTCACCACAACAGCCCCTGTTCAACCCAGATGAGTAGAACCAAAATCAAACCATCTTTACCTCTATCGCAGACAATCAAGCACACTAAAGATGAGCCAATCCAACAATGAAACAGTTTCACCTCTATATGAAGCACAACAGATCCTTTCTATCCCTTTCTTGACTATCTTAGTATCTTTACTTTGGATTTCTTTGGGGTACCGCCTTTATTTCTTGTGTGTGTGTGTTTTAGATTTTCACCACAACAACCCCTGTTCCACCCAGATGAGTAGATCAAAAACAAAATCGCGGCTTTACCTCTGTTCCACACAATGAAAACGTTTTACCTCTAGACAAGCAACATGGCGTGTGTGTTTCTGGGCAAGCTCTCACTCATGGTTAATCGGTGGTGTCATTTTTGGCGAAATTTTAACCGAAACTGCTACATTTTTGGCAAATTTTTCACCGAAATTTTTGCTTTTTTTTTTTTCAACACCCCTACCCTCCCTCTCCCCCCCCCCCCCCCCCCCCCCCAACTGACTCTGCCACAAACCTCTCAGTGCGCAAACAACATCCGCACACAGGCTCACTCTCTTCCAGATATGTTAGTATATGGCGACCTCCATGGAACTGTTGCCTTCCCCCGAATACAACGCACCCTTATCCCGAATGTATTGGACCCGAAAATTTGCTTGTATACATCCATGATCAGTGTGCATTACGTTCTAGGACAGACAATAGACGAGAGGAGGAGGCTGGAGTTACGCACATAGACCCTTATCATGAATGTATCGGACCCGAAAAATAGATTGTATACGGCACCTTTCCAAATGCAATGCACCCTTATCCTGAATGTATTGGACCCCGAGCACCCTTATCCTGAATGTATTGGACCCGGAAAATGGCTTGTATACATCCATGATCAGTGTGCATGGCGTTCGAGAAAAGACAGAGCAGGAGCCCGGAACTATGCACATAGACCCTTATCGTGAATGTATAGGACCCATGCGCATAGACCCTCATCGCGAATATACAGGACCCGTGCAGATAGACTCTTATCGTGAATGTATCCGACCCGAAACATAGCTTGTAAACTTTACCTCTCTGCGCTCTCTGAAAAAACTCCATCGCCTTTCTCATCTTGCCGGACTTGGCTGCCCCCAGCACTGCTTCCACATACGCACACTCGTCAGGCATTACTCCCAGCTGTCGTTGCCGATCCAAAACAGATTCAATCTTGTCCACCCGTTGAACCCTGCCACAAGTGGCAATCAACGGGGCAGATAGCCACGTGGCATATTCTGGGAACAGGTCCACATAGGCAAAGGCCAGATCCAAATGCTCCGGAACAGAACAGCTGTCTAGAAAATCCTGAAAATTTCAACCCAAAAAAAAAAAAAGTTGAAAAAACAAATGTTAGTACCAAGTGCCTCTTCTCCCTCTCTGCCTAAGGTTTACCGGGCAGCTCTGTTTGACTATATATTGTAGATATATATTGTCACAAAGTTATCAAAAAAGTGAAAAAAAACTACAAAATATGCATATAAATTATACAATATATTGTCACAGAGCTATTGACTAAGAGCGTAAGCACGTGAAGTAGAAGAAGAATAAGATGAACGAAGAAAAGAAAAATGAAAGGACAGACAGGCAAAGAGACAGATAAACCAGAATGACACAGAACAGTGTCCTCTTATTCTTTGTTTCACTGTATTCTTATTTCTTTCAATGTTTTACAAAAAAAAATTACACTGAACAAGGGATAAAAATCAAAAACAAAGACACGTTGAAATCATTCAGTTTCTCAGTCTTCTTAACGCCTCCTCCACCGCCTCCTCCACCGTGCCTCTAACGTACAAGGCTCGCCACGTTGATGAAGTTGAGCGCGAGCTGCCCCCATCCGCATATGCCATAACAGCCCACTTGCATGCTATGGAAAAGAGGCAGAGTGAAGGAAGAGGTGTTAAACACAAGGAAGAGCGGAGCAGAAAAGGAAAACTGATAGGCAGAGGGAGAAAAACTAAATAATAATAAAAAAATTGACACAAATATCTTCTTTCTTTTACTGCATTCTTCTTTCTTTCACAGTTTTGCAGTTTTGGTGAAGAGTCTACCACGTTCGGTTTTCAGCGCACCTGCACTTCTTCATTTTTCATTCTCATTTTCACCCTTCGGACTTTTCCTTTGAGGTTGTTAGGGTGCCGGGTACAAACAAAGTAAAATGACACAAACTTATGTTCTTCTTTTACTGCATTCTTCACTGTTTTGCAGTTTTAGTGAAGGGTTTCCCGTTGTTAGGGTGCCGGGTACAAACAAAGTAAAATGACACAAACTTATGTTCTTCTTTTACTGCATTCTTCACTGTTTTGCAGTTTTAGTGAAGGGTTTCCCGTTGTTAGGGTGCCGGGTACAAACAAAGTAAAATGACACAAACTTATGTTCTTCTTTTACTGCATTCTTCACTGTTTTGCAGTTTTAGTGAAGGGTTTCCCGTTGTTAGGGTGCCGGGTACAAACAAAGTAAAATGACACAAACTTATGTTCTTCTTTTACTGCATTCTTCACTGTTTTGCAGTTTTAGTGAAGGGTTTCCCACCTTTGCACATTCTTGTACACTCTTTTCAGCGCACCTGCACATTTTTGTCAGGGTGCAAGGTACGTCTAAGTAAGACCCTCGCGACAGATAGGACAACTGTCATAAGGATGCGGACGATGGTAGCAGCCCACCCGCTGATCTACAGGACGAAAACCGTTCAGGTAAGCAACTTCGTCACAGCAGGAGCCAGGGCGGCTAGCATTAACCATACCTCTTAAGCATGCACGACAGAGGGCATGCCGGTTTCAGGCCATGACGATTGTGGGGCGTTCACCATCACAGTTAACTGCACATTCGCTATAGCGCCCGCAGGCACAGATGGGACATACTGCATCTAGATGTAGAGGATGTCACAATCCAGATACAGATGGCATCCCTGCCGACAGTGGGCCCGAAACATTATGCGGTTGTACTGATGTCGACAAAGTCGATGCTTTCCACAACCAAGTGTAACTCTGTCAGTGATCTCACAAAGGAGGTCACAAGGTGTTAGTGCAGCATGTGAAGGAATGAAGACTAAAGCAGGCATGGTGACAGACATGGAGGTAGGCACAGAAACAGACACAGAAATAGGCATGGAGACAGGTGCAAAGGCGGGAACGAAAGTACACGAGGTGCCCATAGGGTCAGTAATCTGGAAGGAGACAAACACAGAAACAGGCACAGAGACAGGTCTGGAGGCAGGCACAGAGATAGGCGTAGAGGCGGTCATGGAAGTACACGAGGTACCCATAGGATCAATGACCTGGAACAGTTGCAGGTTAGGGTAATTACGCACGAGATCACAGATGGCAGTAATAGTTTGCACCATAGCACTGCCATTCCATAATTCCCAAGAACCAGAGGCACGGACAAGAGCGGTGTAGTGGCCAGGAGCATGTAGAATATACGCACAAATGTGCGAACGATGGTCCGGGTCGCCACCCGAAGGGGCACGCTGCATATCAAGTTGGCGCCTTATCAAAGCAGTCTCCAAAACAGAGATATTGAATCCCCCATGTGGAGTGTAATTACTATTTTGCGAGGGATGCAAAGTCGGGTTATCGCTATATAACTCACGTTCCTGAGCATCAAGATCGGAAGCAATGGCCAAGAAATCAGAGTGAGTATATGGTTCCCGACGATAGGCTTGTAAGCAGATGTTAGTAGCGGCGGGGCCACACATATTCGGTGAAGGCCGGTCAGGCCGATTTTCTACAGAATCTCCTACAGTCCCCTTGCCAAGTTCATCCTCGGATGGTCCCTCACCATCATCCCTCCTATTTTGTGTTTGTTGCGTTGCAGAAAGGTCTGCAGTCAAAGAGCGTCGCAGGCGTGGTAAGGATGCTTGGGGCGGCAAAAGACGGGGACGGGATGTTGGGGAGGGTCGTGGTGGGGAGAATTAACAGGTTCTTCTTCGTCCAAGTACAGAGATGGAGGAAAGGGGAGTAGGCTAAGGTTCGGAAGTAGGCCGAAGCCGGCATCTAGGACGGCGAAGTAGGCTTTCTACAGGGGCAGAACATGATGACGGAGTCTGGTTTGTGGATTAGGAAGAGGGGTAACGGATGGAGACAAAACGAGGGGAGGTAGGAGTGGTGAAGACAGGGTTGGTAGAGTAGCCGGAAGGTGGGTAACAGACGGAGATAAAACCTGGGAAATAACTGCGACGAAGACGGGGGGGATGAAGTCAGAGGTGATGAAGTCGAGGGTAATGAAGTCAGAGGTGACGAAGTTAGGGGTGGTGAAATGGCTGAAGCAGAGACAAGGGGGGCAGTCATAGGTGAGACCCGAAGAGGGGACCCTGCAGGTGGTAATGCAGGCATGGGCACAGATGCCATGGAGGAACACACCGAGACCAAGGGCGACACAGCAGTTGCAGTGGCCATGGATGCCATGGAGGAACACACCGAGACCAAGGGCAACACAACAGTTGCAGGTCGAGTTTCTCCAGCAGAATCAATCGTAGAAGCAACCAAGGCCAATGAGGAAGAGGCTGCAAACCGAAAAGGGGCAGCCAGGGTCACAAACGGCATGGAAGGGGTTACTAAGACTGATGAGGACGTAGGTGCGACAGACACAGGTAATGAAGAAGAGGTTGTGATAGGTGTGACAGGCGTCGGTAATGAAGAAAGGGTTGTAACAGGCGTAGTCTGAGGACAGTGTGTGGATACCCGAGAAAGCGGGTGGTGAATAGACCATCGAAGCATGCTGCGAAACCAGCTGGCGAGGCGAGTCACGTGCGTAGGGACCGGTGTTGACGTTTACGAATATAGGAAGTCCCATCCTTTCGCAAGCGTTGTTGGAGAGTACCCGCAAAAAAGCATGCAGCATGTGAGCATCGCTGCTGCAGTTTTGAAATCATACCAATTGTTGCAGACATACTCAAACCTAGTATGCTGGCATGCAAACACTCCCGCAGGCTGGTGTGCTGGGACGTTAGATGTAGCACTAGGATAACGAATAACAAGGAAATTACATTCAGCTGCTTTGTCAAAGACACTCGTACGTAGGAAACTGTCAGGGTGAACTTGGAGGCGTGCACCCAAGAATGTGCAAGAGCCATCAGGCACTATGGTCTCCTTCCACTCGAGGCCATAGTGCTCTGACGGTGGTGGCAGATGTCCCCATGAGAGAACATCATCGACCAAGCGGTATGTGAACGCATACCGTTGAGCTATGCAAAGATCACGCCGCTGGAGGTCATCAACAAATCGAGCCTCATCCCAATACAACGTCAAATTAGCTATCTCCATACCAGAATTAGTCCCCATCGAGATGCCAATCAGCTGATGTCGCAAGGTGTCGTCCGCTGCATATAAAGATACGTGTTTGTGACAATGAAATGGAGATGTTCAAGAATTTGGGAAACGGTCAAGGTGTTCAGTCCGGTATCAACCGTCCGATCCCCTTGACGGGGCCCTTTAACAATCATGTTAAGGGTAGGAGGATATGTGTGCCCCTGTGTGTGCTGTTGTAAGGCATATGTATAGGCTTCCTCGACCGCTTTTGATACATTATGACAAATACGATCATGAGGAAGATTGGTATACATAGTTGTGAAATCAACAGTGCGAGGAGCATGGCCACGAAGAGAAGATGAATTACGTTTGAGATCAAGCATCACCTCCTCAGCGCTTTGCACGATCCAACACCGTCTCACACCGCTTTGCTGATACAACAGATTATCCTTCTCACTGAGAATTTCAAAGACTCCTTGTAGTGCAATGTTGAGGCGGGCAGAAGCGACGGTAGTACTGGGCAAGGGTTTGTGGGGAGGTCGATGGTGGACTGCATGAACAGATGGTGCAGTTGATCGAGATCGCTACGGCAAGGAGAGATTATTCCGCTCTGTGACGTCGACAATACAGCGAAGCCCGGGGGGCGATTTGTGCGCTTTAAGTGCATATGTTTGAGAATATCTGCGACAGAGTCAAGAGGCACAGGATAGGTAGGGCTGTCCAAATGAGCAGATAGATGAGACAAGTACCAATTTTTACAACAGATTCCCAAGTTATGTGAGTTTTTGTCGACAGGACAAATCGCTGATGTGCTTCAGGCTGTTAGAGTCGGCCTTGATGAGTATATTGCTAAATACCTGAGGTCGGTCTCCGAGCAGCTTCGGCCGGCCGCTCTTAACAAATTGCAGCAGTGGCGCTCAACCGTTCTCACACGTTGCCAAAGCAACATCTCATCCCCCCACACTACCACACGACAACCGCACTCCCTTCACTCAGTGCACAGGGCTTTGANTGCCAAAGCAACATCTCATCCCCCCACACTACCACACGACAACCGCACTCCCTTCACTCAGTGCACAGGGCTTTGAGACACCTTCAACAACACTTTGCTATTGTTCCTGTCGACATGACCTCACATAACTTGGCAACAAGTCGCGGAGGCGATCATCAAGAATGATGTCGCAGTCGGCTGTAACATGGCTGTCGACTAAGTGTGAGCAATCAGGAAACACTTTTCGACATTGACAGTCTGAGGGGTCAGGCAGGGAGATCCCAGGTGTGACGTTGAGCGCAACTTCCGTGAAATTAGAAAACTGGACGTGAGTTGGCGGCAATAACTTATCACAGATACGCAGGTGTGCTGCGGCACCAGGGTCAGGGTGCAAGTGGAGCACCCGAGGTGCATGCAGGGCCTGTCGCAGCCCCGTTACATGAGACACCTCGTGCATGTGCACAACTTTAATATGATCAAGAAAGGCATCTCAAGACTGAGTTGTGTATCGCTGGTGGACATGTTGATGCTTCCGAATCAGGCATTCAAGTTGACGTATATGCGCAGTCATATCTGCATTGGAGATATTATTGCTCAACCACTGCAGCAAGTGGGCACGCCAAACTGATGAAGTTTGCTGGATGGCAGATTCCATCTATTGCAAATTGCCAGCAGCAGCTTGTGAGAGAAGATTGTGCAATGCAGACCGGACTTGAAAGTCGGGCCCTAGACGCAAATCAATAGGCTGGGACTGTTGATGGTCTGACGGACAAGGGCCTGTCTGTGTCCACCGATGAGGACGACGTTGTCGTCTTCTTGCAGGCAGGCGAGCAAGCGGCAGGACAGCGTTGAGACCGGCTGGATGAAGAGTCTGCAACCGGCGCACCCAATAGGCTTCCCGTGTCGTAGCAGCCCGTCGAAAAAGGTTACGGTCAACAAGACCTTGCGGTGTATGGTAAAGGGCCGGGTCAATACGTTCCAAGGGCCAGACTACAAAATTGAAGGGGTTTTGACAAGACATGACACTGCAGAGGCATCGACGCCGAAACTCCACAGCAGAACGACGAACACGCCAATGTTCCTGCAAACGTTGATGCGAGGAGTGCATAGTCTGACCTATGTAAAGACGCCCAGAGGGAATATGAACAATGGCATAGATCACTCCCCGGACAGAGAGAGGGTCCATACCTGGCTGCAGTAAATATGGATATTATATATACATATATATAGTCAAACAAAACTGCCTACGGTAAACAGTAAGCAGAGAGGGAGGGAAAAGAGGACAAGAAACGAGGGGCTGTGACAAACTGTTTCACCGGAGTTTCACCGACTCATCAGGAGGCTTAACCCTCCTGATCAGGAGCCTGAACCCTCAACAGTCTGCAGAATCCCCTAACTGATTACACTGTAAGTGATAATTCACCTTAACCCCGGCTCAACAACTCAACGACTATATAATATACGAGATATAAATATATATATTATATATCGTCAAATAGAACTGCCCGGTAAACCGTAGGCAGAGAGGGAGAAGAGGACAACAAACGAGGGGCTGTGACAAACTGTTTCGTCGGAGTTTCACCGACTCATCAGGAGGCTGAACC